ACCTAGGGACAATTTGGAGCGTTCAATCAGCCAGCCATGCATGTTTTTGGAATGTGGGAGGAAACCGGAGTACCCGGAGAAAACCATAGGAACAATTTAGAGTGTGCGTCCAGCCTGCCATGCATGTTTTTGGAATGTGGGAAGAAACCCAAGTACCCGCAGAAAACCCACGCAGGCACGGACGGGGAGAGCATGCAAACTCCACACAGGAAGGCCGGAGCTGGAATCGAACCCGGTACCTCTGCACTGTGAGGTCGATGCGCCCCATATGAAACACAAATCTAAATGCCTAAATCTTCTACAAAGCTCTAAGAAGATCCGTTACGATATAGTTTCTAAAAATATGCATTGGCAGTTATGAAGCAAAGAACTTGCTCACAAATTGAGCATTGTCTTTTCAATTGTTTTGCTGTAGTGTGTAATAATGTGTATTGTGTTTCCATTTTTGAACGCTTCGAGTTGCTCTTTTGGTGTAAAAGTTTGAGTTCTGAAGTGAGAAGGTGTGGTTATGTTCATGTAGCTTTCAAAAAGGGTGTTGTGTTGAGACATTGGGGAAGATCGAGGAAACGTTTGTGAAATGTGTTTTAGCATTGGAGAAAAACTGAAATAAATGCAACAGTCCTGAACGTATCGATCCCCTACTAATTTTGAAGAAGAAAATAAAATGGTATGTTGTGAGACAAATTTGTTTTATATGCAACGATGATGCATATAAACACATTTTCGAGAGGTTCATAGGGCAAGAGCGACATCTATTGGTGAAACTGTAACTTGGCAAACAAATCGATCTGTTTAGATTTCCGCCCTTCATATTCGCAGTTTTCACATTATGTCCAGAATATTTATGTGGTGCCCTATCAGTCATTGTCTATCAAGGTAGAATACTGAAATTTTCATGTACATGTGTTTTAAACACAGGCCTAAATGATAACATTATTTAGAAAACGTGGTTCAAAACTATATTTCACTTTAGATCAATGGATATTTTGTCTTGTATTTCTGAATACATTCTCAATGCTTCAATGTGTTCAAGGAGGAACCCAAGGCCAACCGAAAGTTTCATTCAAGTTTGTTCCATTCTTAGTGTTTTATTCAGACTCAGATTCAGATTCAGGAAACTTTATTTATCCCCATGGGGTAATTGGACTTAACAGGCACGCTCTGCACAAGAAACATGAAAAAAAATGACGAACATGGGATACAGTGCAAAGGGCCTGTCGGTACTCGCCGTATGTACAGCGCCCCGAGATCTTAGTTGAGAAAGTAACACTAGGGAAGGAGAGGGAAATAAGATAAGATAAGCCAAATCCTCAATTCCTTTTCAAAGCGAGAATTCCAACTTCTCCATGTTGTTGTCGATCGTACGGAGACGCTCCAGAACCGCATCCATATTGCGGTTGAGCTCAGTCACCGCTTGAGTCTGAGTGTTGGACATTCGCGCTAGACCATTGAGAAAGACCGGCAGCTTCTTCACTTCCAATAAAGCTGCTCCCGTCGGTTGAATTTTGCGATAGAACAGGAAACTGCAAACACCAAACAGCAGCATACCTGTTATCAGAAGGCCGATAATGTAGATGTCTTCCACATCCTCAACGGACAGTATTTACAGACACACCATTCTCCACTTGCTCCATGGATCAAGGGCGTACCCGGCAGCAAATGTCACCGAGGGGCAAGAAGGCTCCCCACTGCCTGCTCTTTTCGTCGAAAAAAATTTGTCAATTGCATCGAGAGACCAGCCAACCAATTCCATGGTTTGTTCTTAGGATGAAAATACGATAGGAGGCTAGGAAAGTTAGACACAGACAGCACGTAGACTGAGTGGCGAGCAAGGGGAGGGTGGGGGAGGACAGGAGCTGAGCAGAAAAGCGTCCGCCTTCGTCGAGAGCCAAGCAGAAAAGGTGAATGAAGAATTCATTGTAATTATTTATCTCTTATTTTTGTAAAAGAGTGTGAATCATTGACAAGTTACTTTGTAAACTAAAGCAAAACTGAAATAAATACCTGTACTCAGATATTGTTCATTTCTGTCAAGAGTGGTGCGGAGGGTGTGGGGGTTTCACAAAGCATTTACGCTTTGGGCTCCAGATCACCCGTTGCATGTGTTTTCTGTCTGACATGGGAGGAAGACAGGCGCGGAAGCTGTGTTTGAGTTGAGTGGTTAACATTTAACTGAAACTAGCCATTGCCCATCTGGGCAGCACCACTTTTGTTTACTTTGCCCCCCATCACCTACGGCGCCTGCCAGCCCCGACAACAGTCCTCACAGGTCCCGTTGCTGGTAGCGGTGTGGTTAAAATGTCGCAAGAACGCGCCAATGTGTACAATAATCCAATGTCGTCAAGTCCACATGATTAGAGTACAGTATTCAGCAGCGAAGGTATGGTTTGTCATCAACAACCAACAAAGCAGCCTTGGACGTACGTTTCACTGAAACGAAAGTTTGAGGCATATGGAACAGCCCCAGATATACGAAAAAGTCTCTGGAAGCATATACTAAATCTTACAGGAAATCTGCCATTTTTTAAAATCAAATTTGGCCCCATTTTTCATCTTTTACCGGCCACATTTTAAAGAACTCCGAAATATTTAATCAGATTGTCTTTAAATTGTTGGTGTTTCATCTGACGATGTTCAAGAAGAAATCTCAAAGCAAAGATTTTTATTTTGTTGTGCGCTATTGTCATGCCAATGTGCTTTTTGCCAAGCAAATAGATTGCTGATTTTAATGGTCCCAACATTTATGAAAACACATGAACATCACACCTGCAAAATAATCAATATTGTATTAATTTATTGGCCATTTTAAAAATAATGGCTTAGTAGAGATGTGGACTTTCCTGAAAATTCCTGTATATATATATATATATATATATATATATATGTCATGATTGTGTTTGTGACCAACAGGTGGCACTGTAGAGTTCTCCCTGCAGCTGCACACCTGTTGGTCGTTATGCAATTATTGCTTTAAAAGGACTCCCGGCACAACCACTCATTGTCGGATCATTGTTTGTTCGTTGCTTCTTTGCTGCTGTCATGTTTCTTTGTTCTGTCAGGTTTAGGTCATGTTTCTGTTACTATTAGTTTTGAGTAGTGATGGGAAACTGAAGCCTCATGAAGCAATGAGGCTTTCCATCCAACTGGTTCGTTCCTGGGCCAAAGCACCACGAGGCTTTAGGTCATGTTTCTGTTACTATTAGTTTTGAGTAGTGATGGGAAACTGAAGCCTCATGAAGCAATGAGGCTTTCCATCCAACTGGTTCGTTCCTGGGCCAAAGCACCACGAGGCTTCATTTGTTCTATTGCGCCATCATGTGGGAAATAAATGTCATGACAGACAGTGATGAAAATACCATGGATTTGATGGGGTCAAAAGGGCAGGGAGTTGTGATGTGAATGAATGTGCGTGTGTTACTTGAAAGAATGATTGCTTTATTTTAGACATTGACATAAACAAGGAACAAGATACACCTTTCATTCATTTTTATTGAGGAAAACAAGCTTTTCCAAAGTGTTTGGCTTTAAACGGTTCCTTTCTTTCGATAGGATTTCTCCTGCTTTTGAAAATACTCTTTCACAAGGGACGGATGAGGCTGGGGTACAGAGAAAGGTTATAGCTAATTTGTAGAGGTTTGGGTAGACATGTCTGTGCAGCTCCCAGTAGTCCAGGGGGTTTGACATCCTGCTTATGTTGGGTTCGCCCAGGTAAGTGTGGACCTCCACAGTCGCATCTGCGGTCTCATTCTGGGTCCTCCTCTGCATGA